GGTGCTGTGAGCTGCCAGTACCAGCTTCAGACCGGGCCTCTGCGTGGCACGGTGTGCCGGCGCTCGCACCCCACCGCCCGCTGCTTCCACCGCCTCGACGACCTCTTCCGTCGCCGCTTTGGTCCCGCCCCGGACCTCCCTGACTGGCCCAACTTGCTGCGTCACAGTGTGCCTGTGTTTGACTTAGACATGGATCAGATTAGTTATGCCTTGCATTCTCTGTACGCTGATGCTTCGAGTGTTTCCGAATCGTATTACTCTGTGTTCTCTAGCTTAGGCGTAGCACCTGTGTGTAGTCCAGACTCCCCTACTGCGTCAGGCGTAGGACAGCTTGCTTTGTCTAGCCTAGGCTCTACCCTTGCTCCTCCTTCGTCTGCCACTATGGCGTCGCTGTCCTTCACTCTCGACTCTGGTGCGTCAGCTTGTTTCTTCCGGGAACACGCCACCCTCACGCCGCTTGCTGCAAAAGCCGATGTCGCCCTTGCGGACCCCTCCTCTGGTCCGGTAGCTGCTCGCAGCTACACTACCCTTCCCTATCCGGCGGTTCCCTCGGGTTCCCTTACAGGCCTGCACATCCCTTCATTCTCCAGGAACTTAGTTGGTGTCGGCTGTCTTCAGGACCTCGGCGTCACCACTACGTTCCCTAGTCACGAGCAGTACGCGGTCTGTACCGAGACTGCCTCAGGTGCTCCACTTGCGACGTTCCCCCGAGACCCTGAGTCTGGCCTGTTTACGCTGGATACTGCTCCCCCTCCGGCGGGCGAGTCCTCCTCCGGTCCTGCGTTCACCCAGGTAGCTGCGGCCTGCTCGTGTCGGTCACTCACTCACTTGTCACTGTTGTGGCACCACCGCCTAGGTCACCCCACGCTCCCCCGCCTGCGTCACATGTCTCAGCACGGTCTAGTCCTCGGCCTCCCTGCGTCCCTCCCCGCTCTCCCTCCCTCGCCTGCGCCACCGTGCATGCCCTGCGTCGAGGGCCGGCTGCGCCATGCTCCTCACTCCTCCTCACTTCGCCCTGCTACTGCACCCCTTCAGACCCTGCACTTGGACGTCTGGGGCCCAGCCCCTGTCCCTGGACCGCGTCGCGAGCACTACTTTCTGGTGCTCGTTGACGACTTCACGCACTACACCACGGTGTTTCCCTTGGAGCGGAAGGCCGATATGCCCGACGTTCTTATCCCGTGGCTCGTTGCTGCGCTCCTCCACCGCGGTCTCCCTGTGCTGTGTCTCCACTCCGACAGTGGCGGCGAGTTCGCCTCTGGTCGGCTGGGTCAGTTCTATCGTGCGGAGGGTATCACGCAGACGTACACCCTTCTGGACTCCCGCAGCAGAATGGGGTCGCTGAGCGACACATCGGTTTGGTTATGGAGGTGGCTCGTACCTCCATGATCCATGCCGGTGCACCCCATTTTCTGTGGCCGTTAGCCGTTCGTTGCGCCGCTCACCAGCTTATCCTCTAGCCTCGCTCACAGCGGCTGCATGTTTCACCGACCCTTCTTTGGACCGGGTTCCGTGGTGACGCGTCTGCGTTCCACGTCTGGGGCTGCCTCCCTCACATTCGTGCCTCTGGCACGGACAAGCTCACTGCTCGCACCATCCCCTGTGTCTTCCTCGGTTTCCCCCTCGACTCGTCTGACTGGCACTTCTACCACCCGTCGTCTCACCGCTTCCTTCTCTCCCGTGACGTCACTTCCGACGAGTCTGTCTTCTTCTTCCATCGTTTTCCTTACCGAGGTCTTCCGGTTTCCCCCCCTCTGTTTCTGGTTCCCACTCCCCCGGTCGCCCCTGCTCCCCTCCCTCCCCCCCCCTGCTCCGTCCGGTGTGTCTCACGTCACTCCCCTCCCGTCGGTTGTCCCTGTCGACGAGTCGGCTGATTCCGATGGCCCCGCGGCGTAGTTTGAGCCGCCTGTCCCTCTCCCGGTGTCTCCTCCTCCCTCGTCGCTGTCGCCGCCGCCGTCACCGCTACTACAGCCGCAGCCGTCGACGCAGCTGCAGCCGTTCGTGGACTCTGTGGGTGCTGGAGTTGGAGAGCTTGCTAGTCTTGGGGTTACTGTCGTGGCTTGTCCCGGCGAGCTCGGGGGTGTCACCGGCGCTGGAGACGTTACTCATTCTGGGGGTGCTGGTGTGGAGTGTACCGGAGGTAGCAATGGTGCAGCTGGTGGCCCAGGTGTCGGCGTTGAGCAGCCGCAGCATCAGTCGCCGCCGTTGTCCGCGCTTCGCCTGCTCGGCCTTCCCTCCCCCGACCGCTCGCCTGCGCCTCTCTCGCCGTCTCCCCCTCCTCCTGTTCACGGTCCTGTGTTTCCTCCCCCAGACTCGTCCCCAGCTCGTTTCCCCTCTCGTTCCCCTCCAGTTACTCCTCTTCTGTCTCTTGACCCGACGCCTCCATCTTACGTCTGGTCTCGCCGTCCCTCTCGTGCTCGTCCTATCTCTCCTGTTCAGCGTTCTCACCCTATGTTGCTTCGTTCCCACGCGTCTCGTCCTCCCCCTTTGCCTTCGCCTCCTCGGTCGTCGCTCATTGTCGTGACTCCCCCTCTGTCTGACTACCTTCGTGCTGCTCGTCCTCTTGTTCCTCGGGTCCTTGCCTCCCTCGTTACCGACCCATCTGTTCATGTCTCCACTCTTGACACTCTTGTAGCTGTTGTCGTTGAGTTTGCTTCTATTCGCTGCCTTGACTTCGCTACTGCTCTGGTCTCTGACCCTGTCTGTCCTCCGTCCGTCGGGGGTGCTCCTGCCCTCGGCAGTGACGTGTTGGAGGACACGCAGTACGAGCTTACTTTCCTGTCAAAGGCTGCTCCCCATCTCTGTTCCATGCTGCTAGTCCCTGAGGGTGACCCCGACGCCTTTGACATCCCGACCCCTCGCACCTACGCTGAGGCCACCTCGGGACCCTGGGCCTCTCAGTAAATAGCTGCCATGGAGCAGGAGATGGCATCTTGGAGGGCTACCGGCACCTACGTCGACGCAGTTTCCCCACCTGGGGTGAACGTAGTCGATGGTCGCTGGCTCTTCAAGGTGAAGCGCCCCCCTGCAGAGCCGCCTGTGTTCAAGGCGCGCTATGTGGCTAGGGGCTTCAGTCAACGAGAGGGGGTGGACTTCTTTCAGACCTTCGCCTCGACCCTGAAGATGACTACTCTTCGGGCGCTGCTATACGTAGCAGCACAGCGTGACTACGAGCTTCACTCCCTCGACTTCTCCACTGCTTTCCATCAGGGCAGCCTGCACGAGAAGGTCTACCTGCTCCGCCCTCAGGGCTTCACCGGTACTTTTCCTCCTGGAACCTAGTGGCTCCTCCAGCGCCCCGTCTACGGCTTGCGACAGGCACCTCGTGAGTGGCATGATACGCTGCGTGCCACGCTAGTTGACCTGCTGTTCTTTCCGTCCTCTGCTGCCCCTTCGCTCTTGGTTCGTGCTGGCCAGACTCCGTTCTACATCCTTATCTACGTAGATGACTAGTCTTTGCTACAGCGGACAGAGACGTGCTGGCCTCTGTAAAGGCTGAGCTGCTGTGGCGACACACCTGCACTGACCTAGGAGAGCTGCGCCGTTACCTTGGCATGCAGATCTCCAGGGACAGAGCAGCGCGCACCATCACTATTACACAGTCACACTTGGTGCGCCAGGCCCTTCAGAGGTTTGGTCTTCAGTTCTCCTCCGCACAGCCCACACCTCTACTGGTAGACCACAGGCTCTCAGCTCCTATTCCCGAGGAGTCAGCAGAGCCCAGTGGTCCTTACGCAGAGCTGGTGGGTTGCCTCATCTACCTGATGACTTGCACTCGCCCAGATCTCGCATACCCTCTCAGCATCTTGGCCCGCTTTGTGGCCACAGGCAGACACCGACCACAACACTGGTCGGCCGCTAAGAGGGTTTTGCGTTATCTTGCAAGTACATCGGGCATGTGGCTAGTGCTGGGAGGACGCATGCCAGTGGTCCTTACTGGGCACACAGACGCTTCTTGGGCAGACGACGCAGAGATCCTCCTGTCCTCCCAGGGCTACTGCTTCAGCCTTGGTTCTGGTGCCATCTCGTGGAGGTCTACTCGCTCCTTGTTTGTTGCCCAGTCTAGCTGCGAGGCTGAGATCTACGCCGGTGCCATGGCGGCACAGGAGCTCCGTTGTTTGACCTTCTTGCTTGTCGACTTAGGTGAGCGGCCTAGCTCTGCCCCGGTTCTGTATGTTGACAACAAGGCCATGATCCTCCTGTGTCAGGAGCCTCGACTAGAGGGCAGAGCGAAGCACATCCAGCTGCGGTACTTCCTCCTACGCGAGCTTCAGCAGCGTCGCCAGGCCCGCGTAGTACACTTGGCCTCCGGTGCCAACACAGCTGATATCTTTACTGAGGCGCTTCCGCGTAGAGATCATCAGCGGCACTGCTTGCAGTTAGGTCTAGTACCTGTTGACTCTTACTTGCTAGGCCCTTGATTGTGTACTCCTTTCTATTTGTGCCTTCCAGAATGGCCTTGTGGCTTTTCCTCCAGTGGTTGGACTAGTAGTGCTGCCCTGGTTTGCTCTGTCTTGCTTGTACTCTTGCTGACTGGTCTTCGGGCCCCTGCCTCAGAGGTTGGACTAGTAGTGCCACGCTGAGCTGCGTGTTTCTTGCTCAGCACTATCCCTTATCTAGCCTAGGGGGTGTGTCAACTTATACATATATTGTTATGTAGAAGTTATAGGCTAGATAGGGTATGTTCTTGGTGGGTACAACCCAAACGCTGTATCTCCCTTGTTCTCCCTCATTATAATCATTTTTTCTAGTCTTAACAGCCAACCCCTATATATCCTCGGGCCTTCATTGCAATAGCGACCTTGTATTCTCACGTTATAGTTCATTGACACTTCCTAGATCATAACAATTTAACTTTTGGTGGAATACCCTTAATAGCTTGTTACCAAACCAACATGGCGCGGTACCTTCGAGCTTCAATGCTTGACCCCCCAAGGCTGCATGGCGAGGGGTTGACCCATATGGACTGGCCCCCACTCCCTCATCAGTCATCAGTCCGTTGTCTTGTGACTCGCACCAACAGACAGTCATGGCAGGGTGGCATTGCTTCGTCATTCTCCTCGCAGCGCTCGTTCTCTCGTTCTCTTCGACGACTGCCCCGCCTGCCGCTGCTGCCGTCACTCTCGATCCCTCGCAAGGTCGGTCGCGCCTCTGGCCTCTCTCGAACACGCGGCGCGTCGGCAGCGCGAGGCGTCGCGGCACTCGCCGCCGCAAATCCTGCGCCGCGTGGCGTGTCGCTGCCTTAGGGTTGCGATTCAATTATAGATGCTATCTCATTACTACCCCCGACACGGTCAGATAAGCTCACCGTAGTAACGGGACTGGCTCTTTTGCTGCTGGCCGCACCGTGCGGCCACGCTGTGTGGCGCGGCGTGTAGCGCCACGCCCATGTGGCGCCACGCGCTGTGTGTTGCGCCACGCCCATGTGGCACCACGCTAAGTGTGTAGCGCCACGCCCATGTGGCGCCAAGCTAAGTATGTTGCGCCACGCCTCAAAACGTGTTGTAGCTACTATCCGCACAAGACGCACGCAAAATATCCGCACATGGCGCGCGGGCTACCCGCGCACCCGTAGTGTAGGGCTATCCGCGCACACGACGCGCGCAGTGTAGGAATATCCGCGTGTTGGTCCGCGCGGGCTATCCGCCCTTCCTCTTCCTTCCCCTTCGACGCGGCACTCCGCTCGCCGTGCTCCCCATCCACGAATGTTCCCCCTCCCCTCCCCTCCCTTCCCCCCCCCCCCCCTCATGTGCATGTTTCCCCCTCCCAGCCGCATACTCCCCCCCCGTCTGGCCTGCTTCCCCCCTCATCTGCTGCTTTCCATATCCCCATTTGCCTGCTCCCTCCCTCACCATCCGCTTGTCTCCCCACCTCGCGCCCCACCCCCTCCTCCCCCCCCCCCTGCCCCACCACCCCCCCTTTCCCTGCAGCGGCGGTGCTGGCGGAGTGTCAGAAAAAGTGGGGGCCGAAGGCGCAGCTGACCGGGTGGAGCAAGGGGGGGGATTGCGCCCAGGTGAAGGGCGTGCGCTGCGATGCCGCTGGCTTCATTGTCTCCATGTGCGTGAATTCCTTTCCACTTTTTTTCTCTCTGTTTTTATATTCCTTTTTCTTGTGGTAACGGCCTCTGAAATAGTGTGTGTGTGTGTGTGTGGGGGGGGGGAGTAAGTAGGCATGAGCATAGGCCCGGTCCGGCCCGACCCGATTCTTCTCTGTCCAACCCAAAGTCTGGCCGGGCCAGGCCAAGATTGGGCCGACTGCGGGAACTCCCGCGGGCCAAGGCCAGTCCGACCCCTAAACCCGGTCACCGGGCCCGGGCTGGGCAGGGGTAGGGCAGCCTAACTCCGGGCCGAGTTTCGGGGACAGCCCGGGTTTTTCCAGGCCAGGTTTGCTGCTTCGGCATTGTCGCCCTGGGATGCGGGAGAATGCGGGGCGTTCGACATTGCTGCAGCTAGGAGATAGCCAAAACTAAAGTGCGATCCTAGCTGTCAAAGTCCCGCCCCGCGGATTAGGTCTAGGATTAGTTGTGCAACTTTGACGGGATAGTTGGCTGCTGCTCCTGTTGTGTGTGAGGGGAGAGATTTGTGTTGCAGGTGGGTTGGGTTTCCTGAATTGTGAGGGGTGGGTGGGGGGGTGTGGTTGGGCGCTTTGAAAGGGTTGGGGAGTTGTTCTGAGAGCCAAATGTTTGCTTTGCCAATTGGCGAGACCTCACATACCCCATGCTCTGGGCCCCATGCATCATGCCCCATGCAACATCCCTCACTCCCCGTGCCCCGTTCCCCTTGCTCCAAATAATCGGCGTTTGTTCCCCGATGGTACAGTACCAAATTAAGTGGCCATAAAGTACGGGGAAAAACGGCCGATTGTGCATTTTTGGGGGTGGTGTAATTATGATGTCTTGTTTTTTTCCAACCGATAAAGAAACGAGAGAAAAACACCGGCAAAATGCGCGGATCTCGTTTTTCTGCGGGTGAAATGCACGGATCTGGCATGCACGCTCACTGTGTGCTTAAGACGAGGAGGAGGAGGAGGCGGAGTCATAGTGACAAATATGTCCTGAACTGTTTTGGCCACTTTGTTTTTGTTATTTCTAGTGACCGTTTTTTGTCTATTAGCGATTCGCCTTTCCCCCCCAATAATTCCGGTATAATATGACCACCGTATTTTTCCACCTCGTGCTCCATGCCCCTTTCTTCAAATCCCATGCTCCATCGTCCATGGCCCATGCTCCATGCCCCATGCCCCATAGTCCATGCCCCATGCCGCATGCTCCCATGCCCCATGCTAGTAGTTGCGTATGTGTGCAACAACCGGCATCATACTCTCACCATCTTCGCCTCCCTTTCCCTTGTGCCATTCCCCATGCCGGGTGCCAGAAACGTCACTTATCGGCCTCTCTTTGGTCCCCTTCCAGATGCAGTGGGGAGCCTCACAACACTCACGGAACTGTAAGCATGCCATGTAGTGTGGAATGCCATAGCATCCCTCATTTCACTGGCCAGCTTGAAGCAGATCCTCCCCAACAACCTCCTCCTCCCACTTCCTCTCTCCCCTTTCCATTGTGGGCCTGGTATCAGGGCCTTTGGTATGGTCCGTTGATGTCCCGAGTAATTTGACTTCCCCCACATTTGGAGTTGTGCATGACTGAGCTGGAGATGATGAAAGTCGTGAGGGCACCAGATGATGAAAGTCGTGAGGGCACCAGATGATGAAAGTCGTGAGGGCACCAGATGATGAAAGTCGTGAGGGCACCAGATGATGAAAGTCGTGAGGGCACCAGATGATGAAAGTCGTGAGGGCACCAGATGATGAAAGTCGTGAGGGCACCAGATGATGAAAGTCGTGAGGGCACCAGATGATGAAAGTCGTGAGGGCACCAGATGATGAAAGTCGTGAGGGCACCAGATGATGAAAGTCGTGAGGGCACCAGATGATGAAAGTCGTGAGGGCACCAGATGATGAAAGTCGTGAGGGCACCAGATGATGAAAGTCGTGAGGGCACCAGATGATGAAAGTCGTGAGGGCACCAGATGATGAAAGTCGTGAGGGCACCAGATGATGAAAGTCGTGAGGGCACCAGATGATGAAAGTCGTGGAGTGAGGGAGGGCACCAGATGATGAAAGTCGTGAGGGCACCAGATGATGAAAGTCGTGAGGGCACCAGATGATGAAAGTCGTGAGGGCACCAGATGATGAAAGTCGTGAGGGCACCAGATGATGAAAGTCGTGAGGGCACCAGATGATGAAAGTCGTGAGGGCACCAGATGATGAAAGTCGTGAGGGCACCAGATGATGAAAGTCGTGAGGGCACCAGATGATGAAAGTCGTGAGGGCACCAGATGATGAAAGTCGTGAGGGCACCAGATGATGAAAGTCGTGAGGGCACCAGATGATGAAAGTCGTGAGGGCACCAGATTATGTGTGTTGGTGTAAGATAACGCTTGTGTTTTTTACCACAAGGGCAACCACGTTCACTACAGCATGGTGGGTGGTATATGATTGGGGCGTTGGAGTTGGGACTTTGAGGATGGTTTTGGAGACAGGTGTGATAGGCTCTCAATCGGTCGACTGGTGCAGGTGGGGGCTGCAGCAGATGAAAACACACAGCAAGTGAACTGAGGCTGAGGTAAAGGACAATAGGTAGGCCCAGCAAGTAGCCCATTTTTTCTGGCGGCATGCAACGCAGGTCGCAAAGGGTCGGTGTGAATTGAAGCTGGGGACTAGTGGGCTGGGCTGAATGAATATGAAGCGCATATCAAATCTTCACTGCTGACACACACGATTATCACCTGCGCCCCGTGTGCCGAATGTTGTACCCGCACAGGACGCTTACAAAAACAGGACTTTACGGCTCAATCCCGTCGTCCCTGTTCGGTCTCACCAACCTCGTCACATTGTGAGATTGCTTCCCCAGCACGCCAATCTGCAGATGTGTGCGTTTCTGTGTGACCTGCATGGACCTCCGAGTTACGGTACCCTTTGCCAGGATCCCTCCCCTCCTCTCATCATCACCTTGACCTTCCTTACTTGCGTATGACCCTGTGGCCGTCCCCTCCTGATTGATGCAAGTCTGGATTGTAGGGCACGTGAATTGCTCAAAGCCGTGAGAGACTGGAGGGCGTTTGATGTGCCCCAGAAGGGGAAGTATCGTGCTCGGCTGCTCCACATGAATTTTCTCCCTGTTTCCCTCTCCGCCCTTCTTGTGTGTGTCTGAAACACCTACCAGAGATCTCTATGGCAATTGGCTGTTTGGGCCCATTCCAACAGCCATTGGTGGCCTTGCTGCGCTCTCACACCTGTAAGCTGCCCTCCCTATGTATGCCACGCGCCACATTGCTACGCATGATCAAGGGCAAGCTTTTTTCTCAAGCTACCCTCGGTTGTGGCATTATTCAAGCCAAGCCGGGCAGTAGGCTCGTGTAATCAAGATGAGCCGAGGGGTGGCTAGTCACGAGGTGCATCGGCTCGCAACGACAAGCCGGCCAGCTCATGGTTGCTGGACACGTTCTTGGACTGATGGCGACAAGCCGCGCTGGTTGTCGATGAGCCCCCGACGGGCCGACAATTCAGGTCTGGCTCGTCGTTTCGACGTAGACCAGCCATGAGCAGCACGCGTCGTGCTGAGCCTTCCATTTTGGTTGCTCTGCTCACCTCATGCACGAGTCAAGCCGAGCCGCCTGCTAGGCCATCTGCTCGTGCTTTCAGCATACCACAATCCATGCCATAATCCATGTCACAATCCATGCCACAATCCATGTCACAATCCATGTCACAATACATGCCACAATCCATGCCACAATCCATGCCACAATACATGCCACAATCCATGCCACAATCCATGCCACAATCCATGCCACAATCCATGCCACAATCCATGCCACAATCCATGCCACAATCCATGCCACAATCCATGCCACAATCCATGCCACAATCCATGCCACAATACAAGCCACAATCCATGCCACAATACATGCCACAATGCATGTCACAATCCATGCCACAATCCATGCCACAATCCATGCCACAATACATGCCACAATCCATGCCACAATCCATGCCACAATCCAACCCGCAATCCATGCCACAATCCATGCCACAATCCAACCCACAATCCATGCCACAATCCATGGCACATGAACAGGTACATGCATGTGCATCTGGCAGACCATGTCCGCATTCCTAGCAGTACGCCCGTGAAAGTTTAGATGGCCGATCCATGGCCCGTGTCGTGTTTGTCAAGAGCCAAGTCCGAGCCGTGGTCCAATGTCTCCCCTCGGGTCGAGTCGAACCACGAGCCGCACCTCGGATCAATGGGCTCGGCGTGAGCTTCGTCGCGGCTCGTTGACGAACCGCGGATCTGGCGGGCGAAATTCTGGCGAGTGAGGCAAGGGTGGCTCGTTGCGACCCAGGCTGGCTTGCAACCAACTGCCCCCCGGCTCCGACGTTTAACACATGCCACGAGCCGGGCAATTGGCGGCTCGGCTTGTGACAAGGCTGGCTCGGCTCGGCCCGTAGGAAGGACGAGCCTGGCCAGGTTCGAGCGGAGCCGGTGTCGGCTTGGCCCTTGCTCATATCTACATTGTATGGTGGTTGAAAGTCGTGAGAGAATTGCCTTGGTGCAGAACGAAACTGTTGTTGTTGCCATAAGTGCAACCACCAGAGCATTTGGGCCATCGGAATGAGGGCTGCATGGAATGGCTGGGGAGACGGAAAGCACACAGCCATGGAAAAGTGGGACGGGCTGAAGCAACGGGGACTGCAATGGGTCTAGCAGTTCACTAGAGCTCAGGTTGCGATGCAGCCGACCAACTGCTCTACATGATGCTTCTCCCTCCCTATTTTCTCCCCATCATGCCACCCTTACATGTGTCTGACACACATATCAGAGATCTCAGTTGGAATTGGCTGACAGGCTCCATTCCATCAGCTATTGGTGGCCTTGTTTCCCTCTCATTCCTGTAAGGTGCCTTCAACACTCATGTCACTCCAAGGAAAGGCTGGCATGGTGTGACATTCCTCTACATCCAGTTTGAGTGTACGTGAGCGCCTAAACTAAGAGGACAGGGGTTGCCTTGACTTGCGACGCCTTTCATTAAGCATGTACGTCCGTACCAACCATTTGATCGTCCCGCGTTGCCCTTGCTGTGTGTATTACTCTGTATGTTCCTTCTTGCGCTCGCTACGCACCCATTCGAGAAGTTTCTGTGCATGACATGACAATTTCACACGTGCGGTGCGACCACGTTATTTCTGAGACACTTATTTTGGAATCTTTGGCCAGATGTTTCGCATCCTCCGTATATCGTTCTCCTTATTTCATCGATAGTGCAGCCAAGGTTCCCATGACACTCATGTCAATCAATTCACCCAAGTATCTCTCAATGTGTGGAATGTGACTCTGCTGGATCATCTCGTTTCGTGTCATGCGATTGTGCCTGCACTTGATTGATCCGTCCCACACTGATTACTACTGGAACTTTATATATACTGCTCCTGAATCCATGGCATGGTGCGTGCAGGGACCTAAGCAAGAACACCCGCATCAACGGAACCATTCCCCTGGAGATGGAAAGCCTCACCAACCTCAGATCCTTGTGAGCCACGGTTCGCTCTCGCACCACACGCACTTAGAGTCACCAATGGCTGCCGCTACCATTTCTCCTTGTCACTTATGTGTTGTGTTGTGCAGTGACCGCCTGTTTGGAATTCAAGGGGGTTAATTTCTTTCAAGGACGTCCCATCCCAGTAATAGCTCAGTATGAAGGCATAAGCCAAGAGCCTAGGACATTTGCCATGATGCCCTAGATACTTGGTCAGCCCTTGCCTTGTGTTCGCATTCTCCCTTCCAAATCATGCTCGCCATACCTGTCACTCCACTACACGCGCACCCTTGGTGAGGTGAGGTATGGTCGCAGCTGTCATTGAATTGACCCAAGGAAATTGTTCCAGCTTGGCCAACATGTGCAACACTTGGCCTCAGTTTTTTAAGGCTGTCAAGTGTTGACACCACCCTTTCCTACAACCTCTAAGGGGCTGCGGTTGGCCATGAAATAGCCCTTCCATCTTACCAAATCATCACATTAGACAAGCGCATTGCGGCAGTCCTTCCGGGCTTGTCCGAAGCCTTTTTCCTAAGGACCTTCCGATCACCTGTGCCACATGTTCACGGATCCTAGCATTCTCTACATTCATGCATCTGTGTGTGTGTGTGTGTGTGTGTGTGTGTGGGTGTGTGTGTGTGTGTGTGTGCGGGCGCGTGTGTGTGTGTGCACGTGTGTGTGTGTGTGTGTGTGTGTTGTTTGTGTATGTGTGTGTATGCACGCGCTTTCATGTGTGTGTGCAGAGCTCTCAGCTTTATGGGTTTAACGGGTCCCTTTCCATCCTGGATATCTGGTCGCACTACACTCACCTACATGTGTGCTTGCTCTTCTCCTTTACATCCCCACTTGGTCATAGCAGTTGCATTTTCAATCCTTTCCCCTCCAGGCCTGCCTTCCCACTCTTCCCCCCCCCCCCCCCTTCTCTCTCTGTCGCCTCCTCTCAAACGACCCCCTTTTCTTTCTTTCTATAGCATACGCATACTCACACTCGCACACCTACACGCACACACACCCACACAAACACATACACACATTAGGGTTGAGCATACTACCCGCCCGGGTCGGGTACCCGGTACTCGGATCCGCTTTTAGGGCGGGTCGGGTATCGGAAATCCTGAATATTACCCGGCGGGTCGGGTCTGGGTTACCCGGGCGGGTATTCAATACCCGGTACCTGAAATGCTACCCGACGCGTCGGGTAGCGGGTACCCGACCCGAAGTCGGGTAGCGGTCTACCCGACGGAACCAGCGAGACATTAGTCGCGCTGGTAGAGAAATTTCATCAAGTTTCTAGGTTACGTGAGCTGCTAGGTCACTTAGAGCATTGTAGATTGGCAGGGGTTGGGTTTCGTAGATACAGATGCATTCAGAGTAGGCTTGAGCATGAACCCGACCCGACTTTGCCCTACCCGATGTCGGGTTCGGGTCGGGTCGGGTCGGGTCAAGTCGGGTCGGAGTTCAGGAAATGTCAACCCGACCCGTGTTTAATAGGTCGGGTTCTACCTAACCCGATTTCGGGTCGGGTCGGGTCGGGTTGGCATAGGGGCAGGGACGGGTAATAAGCCGACCCGACGGGTCGGGTTTTATCGGTCGGGTCGGGTCGGGTCGGGTCGGGTACCCGAGGGTCGGGTCAACCTTCCGCAAATGTCGACCCGACCCGTCAAAAAGTCGGGTTCGGGTCGGGTTACCCGACCCGACCCGACCCGTTGCTCAAGCCTAATTCAGAGTGGTTGAATTGGGGGGAATTGGTTGGAAGTCAAACCAATCGAATTTCCCCAATCGAATTTGCAACCCAACCTGAATCCAGCCAACCGCACAGCACCACATTGGTTGGAGTTCCAACCAATTGACTCTGGGGGTCAAAGAATTAAACCCCCAGAAACCGCACACAACCCCATCCCAACTAGAAAACCCAACCAACTCCCCACTCAGGCCCCACTCACGACCCACTCACCACACCAGAACTGTTAAAGATTTGGCGCACCTCATACTCCCTCCCGCAGCTCACGTTTTTTGAAGCACTATCTAGGTCGTAGGCTTAGTAGCCCAACAAGGTAGAAAAACGCGGGTAATACTACCCGCTTTTCAAGGAAACCGGGTCGGGTATACCCGGACCCGCCAGGCGGGTATTAAATTACCCGCCCCCAAATCCCGGGTCCGGGTATTGGTCCTGGGCATGTTACCCGACCCGTACCCGACCCGAAAATACCCGACCCGAAGTCGGGTATAGCAAAACCGGGTCGGGTCGGGTAAATACCCGGTTTTGCTCATGCCTAACACACATACACACAAGTACTCATTTGTTACTAGTCTATCGCTCGCCTGCTTTTTTACAGAGACGTTGTTGGCAACAGGTTTGTTGGAAGCATTCCAGAGTCCATTGGCAGTGCCATCAACCTCAAAGTCTTGTAAGCCAGTGCACGTATGCATGTGTTTGTGTTGTTTGTGTATGTGTGTGTATCACATGCACTCATGCCCATCACATGCGCTCATGCCCATCGCCTTTCCTCATGACCACCATATGCAGAGTACCCATCCAATGCATCATACCCATCTCAAGAGCTCGTACTGATTGCATGTGCTCATGCCCATCATCCCATCTGCTCCTCACTGCACCCTGTGCCACGCGCAACAGCTCTGTGTGGCACAATCAGCTCACAGGCAGCATTCCAGAGTCCTTCGGCAGCCTCACCAAACTCAACAGCGTGTGAGCATCTTTTTATTTGAAAGCACCGTCTTTACCAGTCTCTTAGTCATCCATTTGTGTAGAAAATGCCTGTCATGAAAGTGGCCTGGCGCCTAATTCCGCCACTCGTGTATGAAAAGCCCATAACTTGATTGACATGTCTGATTACCGCTTTGCAGGGATTTGTCTAATAACCTGTTTGTTGGTACCATCCCGGAGGGCATTGGCAACATGAAGTATATAACCTCATTGTGAGAGCGCTCAATGTTTGTCTGTTTGTTCCAACTGTTTATTTCTAGTAGGGATCAGACTGCCATTGCATGCTCATTTGTTTCGGCTGGACTTCCATTTCTTCACTGCCAGCAGCTTATTATTGTGCTGGTTGGTTTGTCATTTGCTCATTTGCTTTTTGCACTGGCTGAGGGTTTGCTCATTTGCTGAACTCTTCTTTTGTGTCCTGGACCTTCCAGAACGGAGTCGCTGCTTCCATTGCCATGGCTCCGTGTCATCAACGTGTGCCCAGTGCGCCATGAAATCACAGGGACCTCTCTAACAACCTTTTGACCGGCACAATCCCCAGTAGCCTGTCTCGTCTCACTGACCTGCAAGAGCTGTGAGTCACACGGCAGCAGACACATGAAGACAGAGGAGGAAACAGAGGTGTTATGAAGTTAGAGGAGCGGAGTGAAACCTTGCTGGCGGTCTTGGTGAGATTGTGATTCGCGCTGTCTGAAGCCGCTCTGGAAATTGCGTGGTTCATTAGCCCATGTCTAGTCTCGGTATCAAGGTTCATTGTTGCTCCATGGTCTTATGTCCGATGCAATCTCATTGATAGACATATTGATTCTATTGTTGTTGACTTAGGTTATGGCCCTGCCGGTCACGGGCTGACTTGCCTGTGCTCACCTACAGGTTCCTAAATGAGAACAAGCTGAATGAGTCCCTTCCTGCCTGGATTGCAATGTTTTCCAACATTGTAGCACTGTGAGTGTTTCTTATGGCTGTGAGTGTCCTCGTTTTCCATCTCTGTTAATCACATGCATGCCGTTTCTCCTTGGAGCATAAAGTTGTGCAGAAAACGCTCAGTTGTGTCATACTTAAGCTTTCTGTACCTTTGGCCTTTTCTATAGCCTTCCTCATCGCTGCTCTTTTGCAGTCACACTGACTCATTTCAATATGAAGCAACTCTTACAACTGTTCCTGTTGTGGTGTACTCTGCTCTGTTATGCACTGTCTATTTGCACGTCGTCCTCTCCCCACCTTGGGGGTGTTGTCATTCCCCATTAACTCCTTCATATGTTCCCTCATGTAGCATTCCTTTTGATACCTCATTTGTGATTCTCTGCTGTGATCACACGGTCATTGCTTGCAGTGATGTCAGTGGGAACGAGTTGTCCGGGCCTCTACCTGCCGCTCTTGGCAGTTTGACGGGTCTCAGCTTTCTGTGGGTGCTGTTGTGTGCTCTGCACACCATGTGCTGGTATTTTTGAGTGATTTTGCCGTATGTTCCTCCTTGTGTTCATGGTATTGGTCACTAATTCGTCCACACCACCTTTCATCCCGCATGATTCACTTTCTCAAGCAGTGCGTGCCGTAGGCATGAGCACACACGTCGAGTTTTGAAGTTGGACCTAACACTAAACATTGACTTACTTTTGCAGACGTTAGCGTAGTAACATAGAGTTTTTATGTTTACGAACGGCTGAAAACTTTTGAGGTAACGTTTACTACAGCCAGCCACAAAAAGTTTTGAGGCTGCCCAGAAAATAAAATTTGCAGGGAGGGAGTACTGATTCCTAAATCCAATGGCCCCGACAGTTTTGAACTCCAGTTTTGGTATGGAATTCCTCATGGAATGCTCCGACCCCTCACGCATGCACACGCCGCCCCTCCTCCACGCTCTACTTCTCCCTCAACTAGCTCCAGCAGATCGTCTTTCATTCATGTGCCTGCAACCGTGGCCATTCTTCCTAGCATGCCATTCCAGTAGTTTTACTAGGTTGTATAGTAGACTTCTAACACATATCCTATCCTTACTCTCCCTTTGTAAAACCCCGTTTCTCCAGGTTTTTTTTCCCCCTAGCTCGAATCAAAGATGCGAGGACGCTCTCAAATTTCGTCGAAGGCAAAACAATGTGTTTTTTTTTTTTTTTTTTTTTTTTTTTCCCACAGGAAATCTTCTTACCTGCCTGCCCAGTGTTAGTCCACAGTGTTCGTTCACGTTTGTTAGCGTTAACATTAATTAACTCGTTGATTGACGGTAATGTGGCTAAAAAATACTTTAGGACCAACTTTTTTTACTCCATTTGCTGTCTCGACTCGGGGAGCATTCAAGCCGGGTCGGTGTTTGCGGCATTCTAACTCGAACCGAGTCGAGACAAGTTGAGTCGAGTCAAGTCAGTCAAGTCACGAGCCAAACTCGACTCAAATGCTGAATTCTGCCGGGTCAGCTGACTAGTTCGAGTTGGCCGCTTGACTCAACAACGAACCGCGCGACTCGGTTTTGGGAGGGGAGGTTTAGCTGGCTCTTGCACTGTGTCCGCCGACCGAGAATGGTATAGGCCAGAATTGGAGAAACAGCTCCTGGAATAGCAGGGAAAAGGGGCCGCCTTCTGACAAACGGAATGAGTCAGACTGTTGAGTTGAGTCAGGCCGACACGGCACAACTTAGACCAGACTCGGCCACCACCAGTCGGAAAGCCAGCAACCCTGACTCGAGACGAGTCGAGTCGGACTTCACTCTACGCATGGTCGAGTCAGAGCTGACTTGAACGGAGTCTGACGTGACTCGACTCATACTCATGCTCAGCATGCGATCTTCCACGAGAATCTCGTCGCTCCATTCTTTCCTCCGGTGTCCCTGCACATTCTTCTATGTCCCTTATTCCTCCTTCCTACATCCCCATCTCATGCCCCCCACCAAGCAGCGACATCTCATCCTCTGGTCTCACGTGTCCTCCAGATACTGCCAGCTGTGTGGTTCGCCAATCCAATGAAAGCGCCTTTTGCTCAAAGTGCAAGAGCTTTTGTGACACATGTACATCAGATGAAGGTGAGACACTGACTGCGGACATTGCAAAGCAAAACAAGGCGGTGCTAGTGAATGCTAAGTTGCATCAGTCAATGCGATGTTGTGCCCATGCTAAGTTTTGGGCATGAGCATAGGCCCGAGTTCGGGCTGGGCTGGCCCGGCCCGTTCAAACAAGGGCTCGGGTTGCCTGTGCCCAAAACCTGGCCTGTCGCGGGCCGGGCAGAAGCACCAACCGGCCTTCCCGCCCCGTCTGCAGTCACGGGCCGGCCCGGCCGGTCCCCGGCCAACCCCAGCCCGACCCCTAAACACGGGCCACAGGCCAGGCTGGTGCAAGGGCCTACCCGACCCTTGCCCAGCCCATGAATAATCCGGACCGTGCCGACCCATGGCGTGGCGGGCCGGCCCGGGCCCGCACGTTGCTAAACCGTTGTGTCAGTTAGTGTTAAGTTGTGCTAGTCAATGCTAAGGCATGCCATGCAGTCCCAAGTAGAGATGGGCACAAGCCGAGCCACACCTGGCTCGGCTCGGCTCGGCTCGCCTTTAAGGCGAGCCGAGCCTTCTTTTTTGGTACCCGGCTCGACTCGAGCCGAGCCGGCTCGGCTCGACTCGAGCCGGCGGCTCGGCTCGGCTCGCGAACGTGAAATCAGGCGAGCCGGAGTCGAGCCGGCTCGAGCTGGCTCGATTTCGAGCCAGCCGGCTTGCGGCTAGGGAAAGGGGGGTTTCGCGACTGTCAAAATTTAGATCGACAACCCCCCCCCTGCCAATATTGTCTGCCAACCCTAACCTCACCCTGTCGCGCTAGTCTATCGACCTCAGCCAGCCATATTTAAACCGGCAGCTCCTCCTGATAGTTTTGTAAGATGTAGGAGCAGACGATCAGCTAAATAATATGGATTATCCCCTATACTAGAGACCCCAAACCCCGTGGCCCCAATTGAGAGCCCGCACAAGCCCCTCTGACGAGCCGAGCCGAGCCGGCTCGCCGGCGAGCCGGCCCCGGCTCGACCCCATTTTCACGAGCCGAGCCAGGGATCCTGAGGACCCGGCTCGAGGCGAGCCGAGCCGGCTCGACCGGCGAGCCGGCTCGGCTCGACCCCAAACGAGCCGAGCCGAGCCAGGCTCGGCTCATGCCCATGTCTAGTCCCAAGTTGTGCTAGGTTGTGCTAGTTATTCCATATTCATATCTAAGTTGGTACTTTACGTCACTTTAGGTGACGTAAACGTACAGTACGCGTACGTTACGTTTACGTCGCCGGGCAGGCTCTGAAAATTTTTTCTGGGAAAAAAAATTCCCTCCGAAAACCGCGTTCTACAACAACTACGCGATCTGCAACTATGCCTAGATTATCGCTGCCCAGGGTTCGCGCAGATCTACCCCGTCATGAACTATGGCGCACGTAGATTCGTCGCGCTGGTCGAAGGCGCGCTAATAGTCCTAGGATGCGACTTAGACTTAACTTAGTTGCTACTGGAGATAGGGTAGCGACTGACATTCGTCGAGGAGGGAAGGGGAATTGAATGTCGAGGAGGGTTGGGTTGGGTTAGGTAGGGGTTGACGTTGACTGGTTGGAGTACCAGCATGTCAGATTTGTTGACTGTGATGCAAACCAGTGGTGTCCCAAGCCGGTGGACGCTGCGAACGCACAACTGGCGATTGCGACGTTCTTCCACGTTTGTCGCATCCCGCCAAACGTGGCGGAACACGAGGTCTTCAAAACCATGTTGAAGAAGGTGGCGGCTGCTGGCACCGGTTTCACCCCCCCCGGGCGTCGGCTCATCATGGGCCGCCTTCTTGAGGAGTGCAAGACGAAGACGGAGAATGCGCTCAAGGATGCGAAAGAGTCGTGGGACGACATTGGAGTGAGCATCGCGTGCGACGGATGGACGGATGGGGAAGGTCGTCTTCAGCTCAACATTTTGGCCGTCAACTCCAACGCGTCGGTCTTCTTGTTCGGCGTTGATTGCGGCACGGAGAAGAAAGGAGCTGATTACATCGCCGGGCACTTGAAAACTGCGATCGAGGAGGACGGCGCGGAGAATGTCGTCGGAGTGCTGATGGATGGTGCGAGCGCGAACATCAACGCTGCCAGCCTGGTCAAGGAGGAATATCCGAAGGTGCAGTGGATTCGTTGTGCCGCACACTCGCTTAGCCTCCTTATGAAGGACATCGGCGGGCTCGACTGGGCCAAACCGACCATCGACGAGGCGCAGCAACTCATTTCGACACTGAAGAACGGGCAGTGGATCACGGGCTACTTTCGAGAGAAGGATTCGCTGAAGGTGCTGAAGCCTGCAGGCACGCGGTTTGGGACTAACTACATCGCCCTTGAGCGTCTGGTTCCGGTGCGTGACACGCTGGAGGCGATGATGAAGACCAAGGGGTTCGACGATTACACGAAGGGGAGGCCCAAAATGAAGGACGCACGCGACACGGTGCAGCAGAAGGGATTCTGGAAGGGCGTTGAGCTGGTAGTTGCCGTTCTCAAGCCGGTCTTCATGACGTTGAGGAAGGTCTACGGGAATCAAGAGGTCATGGACAAAATGTACGAAATGATGATCGATTTGGAGGAGCAGGTGGATAGGGTGTGCGCGGATTTGGAGAGCGCCGAGGAGGAGGTTGCAGAGATTGTGCGGAATAGGTGGAATAATGACATCAGTTGCCCGCTTCACGTGGTGGGGCGCATTCTCTATCCACCCAACCAGTATGAGATTTTTTTTGGACCGGACGACAAGGAGTGCATCGCAATCTTTAAGCGGTTTGTGCGCGACTACTACAAGGGAGAGACTATGAAGGTCGGGAATGTCATTAAACCAATGGCCACGATCGTCGAGGGCGAGGTGTTGACGTACATCAAAGGGAAGGGGGAAATCGGAGAGCAGAAAGGCTTGGAGGGTCACTTGGACCCCGTGCAGTGGTGGATTATGAATGGCTCCGATTGCCCCAACGTGGCGAAGCTGGCGTGTGCAGGGTACTCAAGCAGTGCGTGTCGGCACCGCACGCCGCAACCGACTAGGCCCCAAGCGTCTTGCGGATTTGGTTTACATAAGCCACAACTACCACACGGTGAAGAAGCTTAATGCCAACTTCTCCAAGAAAATGATGGTTTCGGCACTTCCAGTATTTCGGGAGGAGCCAAAGGATGGCTATGAGCCCCTCGATGATGATAACGACATCCCTGATGATGCGTATGTGGACACTCCCGTTGAAGACGACCCTAGCATGGATGAGTGAAGGTAGCATCTGCAATTTTGCATGTTATAAGCATAGCACCTGTTGGAAACTTGGTATTTTGTGGATGTTTTCTATCTTCCTACAAAAAGATTTAATGGCCAATGGAAGTCTGTACAAAAATCTGCCTAGGTTCCCTCTTCTTTTTTTTCCCGGGCAGGTAGAATTTTTTTGCCTGCCTGTACATACAAGCCTAAAACCAGAATTGCGTAAACGTACGTAAACGTACACGTACGTAAACGTAACGTAAGGAACCAAATTAGATTCATATGCATGCTACCTGATAACTTGCCAGCATCTTTGCATCTATGTATGAATAGCCATCACCGTGATGTGATTTGGGTGGTTTCTTTGTTCATGTGTATGCGCCTGCATGTGTGCCGGCCCATTCAGCTGCACAATCATTCCTTCCTCCATCACCACCACCTGCATCTCTCTCCCTTGTTTCATTACGACCCCCATCACCCATTGCACCCAGCAGCAGCCCTGTCACCTCGGCCAGCACCCCCGGCACCTCCTTCCTCGCCCTCGTCCTCTTCCCACTACGACCTGTCCATTGGAGCTGTCATCGGCATTGTGGCGGGAGCCATCTTCGTCCTGCTTGTCTTGCTCGGTTCTGCTTGGTGGACTGTTGGACGGCGCAAAGCATCTGATGGAGGTCACATCCTTATATGTCAGCCATTTTCAGCAAAGGACGAATATGAGCACCACATATTATGGAACAATGGCATATCGATCTCTTAATCACGCCTATTAGCCTTTAATTCTTGTATGTTCATCTACTGTTTCTTGCTTATTCCAAGGTCATCCATCTCTTTTCTCTATCTGTGGTCCTTCTGTACCATTTCTCTGACCTTTTCTTCCCCCACCCATCCCTCCCCACACACACGCCTGATCCTTTTCGTTGTGCAGTATCGTCAGTCCCCAGCTTGCAAAATGCACCCACACTGTGCCAGAAGTACCCCCTGGCTGTTGTCGTTCGCGCCACAGGCAACTGGTCCAAGGACAAGCTACTTGGGTCGGGGTCGTTCGGAGACGTGTATCGCGGGGTGTGCCCTGATGATGGCACCACGCTGTGGGCAGTGAAGCGAGCCAAATTCATCAGCGCTGACTTCCACAGAGAGGTGGGCAACAACGATGGAAAGGACAGTTCAGGCAGTAGGAGGGTCGAGGTTTGGCGGCAGTGGGAAAGGGCTAGAGAAGGTGCGGATAGAGTTTGGAGCTTTCAGGGTTTACGAGGAGTTTCAGCTGAATGCAAGGTGGGCAGGTTGCTGCTGTTGGCTTCGTCCTTGGACCGGCGGCTCCTGGGCGGGGGAACGGGCTTGCAGCCCCTCGTTGACGGGCCAGCGAGGTGGCTGCTGCAGTGGGCCTGACTGGAGGGGTGGAGCTGCTGGCATAGGGAGTCCGGGGTGGTGGGTGGGTGGACCGAGGACTTAGCACATGCAGGGCTGGGCCTTACTGCGGTTATAACTGTAGTCTTGCAGCTGCTTCAGGCTGGTCTCTGCTGGTCAGCACGTGCAGCTCGGAGCTCCATGCAGGCAAGTTCTCGCCGGCACCTCCAAACAATGGGTGCAAGTGCGCTCTTCGTTCCTTGGGCTCCTGGGTTGGGCTGTGGGCTGGTAGCGGCTTCCTGGTGGGAGAGAGGGGTGGCGTCAGCACAGCAGAGGCAAGGAGGGGCAGATGGGAGGAGATGCAGTGAGGAGTGAAAAGAGGGTGCGAGAGGTTTAGGGAAGAGGTGAAAAGGGGTAGGAGAGATGGAGTAGAAGATGGTGCGGAGGGGTGGATTTAGGGCGTAATGGAGTGTGAGGGTGATCGAAAATGCAGATGCATTGTAATGAGTGAGGAGTGGCGGTTTGAATTCTTTTGGTAAGGCAAGTCAACGGTTTGTATGTCCATAGACCGAATGCCCATGTTTCCTCGTGTTGCAACATCCAGAAGGATTTGGCTGGATGGATGATTGGCTGTAGGAAAGGTGTCAATGAGTCAAGGTAGTATGTGTGAATCCATTGGCGATTAGTGTGCATTGAACATGTGAGGCCGTCACGAAATTGCTTTACTCGAAACAGCCAATTGTCGCCATGGTGTTGAGACCGGGGAGGGTATCACCTTGTCAAATGAGTTGTTTCGCATGAAGGGTTGACACTCCGCTTCCATCGCAGTACGTCATTCAGCAGCATGTGGGCCCGTCTTGTTTTTTTTTACTGAGGGGTGAGGAGTCGCTCTTTGTGAGGAAGTTAGGGATTAATTATGTTGAGATGAAATGGCTCCTCGTGACCTTTACGTAGTATAGAAGAAACAACTCCCTCGGCAAGAGGAGTCCGGATGAGTGGTAGAGCAAGTGGCTTGAGTGGGTCCACAGGACCCAGTGGAGCAGAGGTGGAGGGTTCTTCAGATGGTGAAGTTGGGGTTGAGGCATCAAAGTCAGCCCACAAGAGGGAGGGGGTGTGGAAGAAGCCACGCCTGTGGTGGTTGAGTAGAAGTGCACATGAGAAAACGAGTCAAGATTCGACTCAACTCGTTGATTCTGCTCGGAAAAAAAAGTTTTCTAGTCGAGTCACTGGGGGGAGGCCCGCTGACTCGATCCAAGGCGAGTCGAGTCGAGTCGCGAGCAAATCTTCACTTAATCTCAAAACTATGCTGAGTCAGTGTTGAGTCAGCCGAGTCAACTTTTACTCGTCGACTCGGCTCTGACTCATTTGAGTCAGGGAAGGGGAAAGGGGGGGGGGGGAAGGGCAGGGGGGGGTGAGAGGGTTAGGGTAAAAACTTTTTGTGACATTTTGGAGCTCCAGCAGAGCAAGGTGCAAAAAAAGGGCATCCGAATGAAACGGTCCATTTTAAACGGCTGTTTTTTTACGGTGGGTTTTGGTTAAAAATGACGTTTTTTTGTTAGACTTTTTTCCATGAAGTTTTTTTTCATAAAAAGCACGCATAAACAAGTGGCCTGATCGCTAAGGCGGCCTGCATCGTTCAACGAGGTAATTAACGGCTTTGAAACAGGTATGTGATGTCCATGCCCCTAGTCCGTCGCCTTCTAGGCCTCATTCTGCTCCTACTCCACCATCCCCCCCGTCCTCCTCCTAAGCGTCATCCCCCTAGTCCTCCCCCCCTAGTCCTCCCCTCCTAGTCCTCCCCGCCTAGTCCTCTCCCCCCTAGTCCTCCCCCACCTAGTCCTCCCCCGTCCATGCCTCGTCCTCGTCCTACTCCTCCTCTCCTCCTCCCTGTCCTCCTGCTGCTCAGCCTCATCCTCCTAGTCCCTCTCCGCCTCTCCTGCTCCTCCCCTCCTCGTCCTCCTCCCACTCTCGCCGTCACTGCAGTCCCATGGGGATCCCTCCTTGGCCCTCTTGACAGGCTCGTTGGGTCCACTGCTATCGCCATCGCCCTCTGCTGCCTCCTCCTCCTCCTCCTCCTCCTCCTCCTCCTCCTCCTCCTCCTCCTCCTCCTCCTCCTCCTCCTCCTCCTCCTCCTCCTCCTCCTCCTCCTCCTCCTCCTCCTCCTCCTCCTCCTCCTCCTCCTCCTCCTCCTCCTCCTCCTCCTCCTCCTCCTCATCGACCACCTTCTCCTTCCCCTTTCGGGAAGTGTTTCCCTTCTTTGGCCTCTTCTTACCTCGGGCCTTGGTGCCACTCTTCTTCTCCTTCCCCCCGAATCCCGATGTGAGCGAACGTGTCCCAATCGACGGTACACGCCTCCCAGCCCTCTTCCCCTTCGGGGTCCTCAGCCTCGGGTTCCTCAGCAGGTGGCAGGGGGATGGTGGCGCCCTCCTTCAGGCTGCCATCGCTCAGGTTGGAGTACAGCTTCGCGCGCACCGCCACTTTCTGGTCGAACGCCGCTCTTGCCCGCCGGCTGAACGCTATGAAGGTGACGTCGGTCATCGTCGTCGCGCTCAGCCGGTTCCGGTCGCGGCGCTGGACGCAGGCCAAGGCGGACGAGTAGCGTTCAACCTCGGATGAGGTCACTGACTGTGATGGAATCGTCACAGCCAGCTCCTGCAAGGCCGCCACCTCCCCTCCGTACATCCACCACCATTCTGCATCCTTCAGCCGCCCGCTTTCCACGAGGACTGGCGCTGCCCATCGGGCTTCCATGGATCCGAGGCGTCCCTCGCCCTTGTGGAAAGTGGCGAGCTGGGCGGTGATCATACACTGCCGCTGCAAGTCGCCCGGATCACCTCGTCCGCTCCGTTCCTGATCTCCGCGTCCGCCGCACCTCACCCACCTACTGGTTCCGCGTGCTGAGGAGCCAACCGAAAGCTTGCAGCGGGTTGTGGAGCTGCCCGTCCCAGCACTTGGCGATCACCTTCTTCACGTCCGCCAAGAAGGCGGGCTTGTCCTTTGCCGCAACCAAAGGCGTTCGGCGGACGAAGAACGTGGCTGCCACCTCTGCTGCCTCGTTCATTTTGACGGTGGCCTCTAACATGAGGCCATAGATGCGGCCCATGACGAGCGACCGCTTGTAGATGGACTGTGTGGATGGGATTCATGAGACGGAGCACCACGCCAACGGACTCCCAGAATGAGTCCGCCAAGAGGAGGTCGCGGACGGCCTTTCCTTCCTCAGACCGCGCCAGCGGCACCTCCTCCCACTGCTCGCTAATGACCGTTTCCCGCAGCTGCCTCTTGACCTCGAGGAACCGCCCGATCATCAACACCTGAGTCCCAAATGGAGTAGAGCCGGGGCGGACGAGCTCCAACTGGCTGAAGACCTCACGGAACCGCGTGACGGCGGATGCGCTTCTCCATCGTCACAACCCGATGCACCTGGGTTAGGAACTGCCTCACGACCCCAATCGCCCCAAGATCCTCCAATGTAAGGTCAAGGACGTGAGCCGCGCAGTTTGTGAAGAAGACTTGCGGGAAGCCGTCTTTCAAAATGCTGGCTGCCTGCTTGTTGTTAGATTCGTTGTCCATGCATAATTGGACGACAAAGGCGATCGCTCACATTGCAGATAGCGCGCCGAATCAGCTCAGCAAGGTACGGTCCGGTCTTCTTTGCAGTCTTAGATTCCACAATGTCAACGACAACATGAGCAGTGTCGTTTTGGGCAATGACGCACACCATGCCACGGCTTTTGAGGCATGACCGTCCATCGATGCTTAACGAGCAGCCGGTGGTGCGCCACGTGTCCTTCAAAGGTTGTAGGAGTGTCTCACATTCCGTCTTCAGTTTGTCGAGCAAGGGCAGTGTATAGGGCTTCACGAAGCTGACCGCCGCGTTGACAAAGTCCTGAACCGTCTTCGACTGGGACGCTCGAAACGCCCAGTCATTCTCTACTACGGCCGTCGCCCACAAATAGTCGAGGCGGTTACGGCCCGCCACGTCCGTCATTTCGCAGATATCGCGCTGCCGCGTGCGCCCCCTTTGCTGCACCTCCACCGTCGACGTCGAAACACGAAGAGAGAGCTCAGCAGAGGAGGAGCGTCCCTCTCCGCCAGACGCGTGCAGTTGTTTCGCTTACTCCGACTGACATGGTGCGACGTTCTTCAGCTTGTCGCTAGGCGGGCCGTAGATGTGATGGCCTATCCTAGTAGCATTAGGATTGACGGATGCATCGCAGTGAATACACACGCAGCTGCGAACAATGCTGCTGGGGCCCGTGTCTTTCTTGACGTGCTCCCAGAGCCCGGACGTCGGTCTAGGCATGACCAACCACGGACTGCTGAACGCGAGAGTACAATCTGCGTGCAGTAACTAGCGGGTCTAAGTACAGAGTTGAGGAGGTTGAGTAGTAATGCTCACTGCTGTGGAGCTGCTTGATGTTTGTACCTGAGCTTTGAGAGGGATCACATCCCATTTCGTTGAGAGGGATGGACCCCGAGATGATGTGATTGGTTGCGCGAAATCGCAAATCCCGAATCGCATGTTCTCAAATGTTCGCCCGACCGCGCGATGCTCGGACCAGAGGGGCAGCATGGCGCGAAAAAGGACTGTCGAAATTTGCACAACGGACGCGCGCTCTGTTCTGGGCTCCAGAAATTTTGGATGCATGCGCTTCGATAATTTGTCAGGTCGCGGCACGGCTAAAAGTTGAACGACTGCGCGACTGACAAATGTTGAACACGGATATGCGTTATTAGCTTAGCCAAAAACGATGTACACCGTATTATACGGTGGTACGAAAAAACGATCGCATAAAATGGCCGTTTTTATGCACCAAACGCAAAATGCAACTTCCGAGTCTCGGCCGTATTAATCGTATTATACGACCGTTTTATACGATCCCATTTTAACAGCAAAAAAGGTTAAAAACGCCGTTTTTTTGCACCTTGCAGCAAAGCAGCTCTGAAATGCATTGCGCCCTTAGTGTCTAACTAAGCTACCCCACCCGAAACAACTCCCAAATTACATACATTTGTGCCTGAATTTTGGCATTCCGCTCATGTTACGCATAGAACTCCCCCGTTTCCAACAACTTTTTTCAATTCAAGGTTACTACGATCCTTGCAGCTCTATAAGCTCAAATCTAGGGTTTGCTTACAGATGGGCCGTGCCTCCGGTTGACGGAATTTGGTGTTGCCTGCCCATTTAGCTGCGCTTTCGAATACTCGAGTCGAGTCTGAAAAGTAATCCCACTCTTTTCCGCCTCCATGCTCTCCTTGCTCTCCCCAGGTGGCTCAGATGGCCACGAAGCACCATCCTAATTTGGTGCGGCTGCTGGGGTTCGCAGTGGGTGGGGATGTGAACACACGGGTGGAGAATGTTCTCATCTACGAGTTCATTCCCAATGGTGACCTGCAGAGGTGGATTGGCCAAGGTACAGTTCTGAACAACAAATGTGTCGCATGAAGCTTGGATGCCAGTACCCAATGGAAGCTTGAAATTATACTCATTTGTGGACTCAGGGTGCAAGGCACAGCCAATAAAAGTGCATGTTCTATTCATTCCCAGATGCCCCCACGAGTCTGACTCTGCAGCAGCGGGTAGACATTCTCATAGGGGCTGCACGTGGCTTGGAGTATCTTCACAGCTTCGGCATTGTCCATCGCGACATCAAGCCGGCCAACATCCTCATCGATGCCGACATGCAGGTGAGGTTGGTGATGGAATGAATGAAACCTGCGTGCAGGTGGGGTCTGGTTCGTTTAAGTCCATAGGAATGTGGGATGATGAGGTGCTCCAGCCATCTGGAGATAAGAGATTCTGAACCCATGATGCTAAATATTCTGCAACTGTCATCTTCAGCACGTTGGAGTGGCTAATCCTTGCCCTTCCAAAGCACATGGTGCAGCGATGCTCTCCCTTAATGGCTATTGCCTCTTGTCTTGTCTGCTGTGCCCTCTTTCCCAGGCTAAGGTGGCAGACTTTGGACTGGTGCGTGTGGGAGAGGGCACTGCAATGGGCTACACGCGAGTGCTTGGAACAGCAGGCTATGTGGACCCCGCTTACTCCAGAACACACAACGCCACCACCGCGGCTGATGTTTACAGGTGACTTACTGTGCTGATGTTTACAGCTGCGGTATTGAGCCTGCCTTTTCAAAGCAAACGCGTATACTAGAATTCAATTCCCAGCTACCCGCTGTGCTTTCCGTCTTTTGCTCACATGCTACCGGTAGATGAAATCTGGGTTTTCTTCTTCCACTGGCTTTCCAAGTCTTGGAACATGCTCCTTTTGTTTTTGTTTACTTTGCAAAATAATGCTGTCATCTTGGAACATACCTTGGAACTACACTGTTGGACAAACTCACTTAAGTTGGCGGCCTACTATCCCAAGTTGGTTCGTTGCCAAACCACACCAATCTAGCTGTTTGGATTCCCAACCAAACAAAACCAAACCAACCATCTAGGTGGTGAATTCTTGTTCGCGTTGATCGTGCAGTCTTGCTTGCTCTCATGATCACTTTTCATCTTTCTATCTCTAGGAAAACTGGTTCCTTGGCTATGCTACTTCCTCGCTTTCCAAATATTATTGTTTCTCCCGTGTTTCCCGTCAGCTTTGGCATTCTAATGCTGGTGATGCTGTCAGGCAGAGGAGCCACAATCAATGAAATCAACCTGCGCAATGAATCAGACAACCCTGGCGACCGATCACCAATTTCCATTTCCAAATGGGTGGGTTGCTTGCTTTCACGCTTGCTTGGTTGTATCTATAGCATGAGTTTTTTATGGCTCTACCTGCAGTTGTTTGCGTTTGCACTCGTCAGTGATTTTATATTCGGGTGTGCCCATCGTGTGTGTTTTCTGCCCCCACCCAACAGGCAACTCATCTCATGGCTAATGAAATGACATCACTTCTTGGGGACCCCAGCTTGGCAGCACCTGATGACATCATCAAGCGCATTACCCAGCTGGCTGTGAGCTGCACTGCTATGCCCACTGCCTCCCGCCCCTCCATGCTTCGAGTGGTCCAAGACTTGGAGGCTTTGAGGGAGGAAGTGGGAGGCGGGGATGCGAGGGCGAGAGTGTCGGCAAGGATTGATGCGATGTTGGTGAGCCAGGAGTCTAGGAGAAGTATGGAGGAGGATCTTGCGTTGGTGGCAGAGCAGTTCGCTGACACGGGCACAGTTATAGCTAGGGTCCCGAGCCATCCGGAGAGCACTGACTCCAGTGCAATGGCAGATGAAGGGGTCTCCTGATTACCGTAATCCCCTGTACATAACACCCTATGGTGTATATAAAAATTCACTAAAAAAATGACTGGGTGTTAACAGTGGCCCGGAAAAATATAGTGCCCATGTGTTATGTAAAATGCAATTTGAATTTCAGTGTTTCAGGCCATGTGTGTTCACAAATGCGTGGAGCGATTGTTAGCGAGGTACAGCATCCGCTAAGACGAAACTCACGAACTAGGCGTCATTGGCCAATCCATGCTGAGTGCTGTGGTCAGGGCCAGGTTCGTGCCGCACCTGCGACCATAAAGACCTGAGGATTTCGCTCGGGAGGATTTTGACCGTCAAATCACAACAGAATCCGCGACTTCGACGGTCGAAATCCTCCCAAGTCTCGACCTTTGCTGACGTTTCGATTTCGCGCTGCAACTTGTGTTGATGTTTCTGCCCGTTTCTTCGCTGCTAATGGAAGTTGACATTGCGTTTTTCATCCTGTTTTTTTTTTTTTTTTTTTTCAATCGAGCTGAGCTTGAAAAACTACGAAATATTGTTATGTGCTGCATAAAACGAGGAGGGTGTTATGTAAAATGTGAAATAACTTGTCCAATGTTGTAGAAGATTAAGTATAAAACTGCAAACACGAACACTTGGAAATCCTCAAGTGTTGGTCCAGGATCTTTACTGGAATGGTAGACTAGTAAACAGTGGAAGTCTTGTAAGAATGAACCTGAGTATATGTTTCTGCAGAAGTTTAAGTCTCAAAGTTCTCAAAGTTGAAATCTCAAGGTTAATAATGAAAAGAACACAACAAAGATTCATAGCTCTAGAAAAGTACATATTCGCTAATGTATCTGTTCGTCACTATCGCGCTATGCGCTCTAAACGATAATGAAGAGGTGCGACTGTTCGCGTGACTGAAACGACTGTCCTATGACGAGCGCTATTTGCTGACGTCATCCTACGGACTTATGTTCTACAGTAGGATTCGACACTATCTACACCTAATCGACTTACAGAAATGCTAAGTATCAATTATATCACAACACTCCCCTTCATTTCTGGAAGTTCGATAGTGTCACTTCTTGAAGATCCCGCAAAGCTTGTTACAGTAATGGAACTTCTGTCGTGTCAGCTTCTTCGCGAGAAAATCGGCAGCCATTTCGTTGGTCGAACAGTAGACCAATCGCATTCTCCCCTTCTCGACTTCATCCTTGACGAAAAAGTAACGCAGAGAAATATGTTTCGTCCTGTTGACGAAGCCAGGCTGGTGCGCGATGCGAATTGCACTTTGGTTGTCGCACTGCAGGGTAAATTGGGTAGTCGTCGTCAATTTCGCTTCTTCCAATAGTTCCAGTAAGTAAATGTTAACGTAGAAACGAATGATTACTAGAGGTGGAAACCTAGAACAAATACTAGTTGGTTGTACTCACTAGAAGCATACCTCAGTCTAGCCTATAACTTCTACATAGATAATATGTATAAGTTGACACACCCCCTAGGCTAGACAAGGGGTGAAACTAAACAAGAAGCAAACAGCTCAGGGCGGCACTACTAGTCCAACCACTGAGGCAGGGGTCTGGAGACCAGTCAGCAAGAATACAACCAAAACTGAAGCAAGCCAGGGTGGCACTACTAGTCCAGCCACTGGAGGTAAGGCCACAAGGCCAGTCTGACAAGCATATATAATAGAGAGTACACAATCAGGATCCTAACAGGGGAGCAGCTATAGGAACAAGACCAAGCTGTACACAGTGCCGCTGATGATCTTTAGGCGCAAGCGCCTTAGTAAAGATATCAGCTGTGTTGGCACCTGAGGCCAAGTGAACTACGCGGGCCTGGCGGCGCTGCTGTAGCTCGCGCAGGAGGAAGTACCGCAGCTGGATATGCTTCGCTCTGCCCTCAAGCCGAGGCTCCTGACACAGGAGTATCATGGCCCTGTTGTCAGCGTACAGGACCGGGGCAGAGCTAGGCCGCTCACCTAAGTCTGTGAGCAAGAAGGTCAGCCAGCGGAGCTCCTGTGCCGCCATGGCACCAGCGTAGATCTCAGCCTCACAGCTAGACTGAGCCACAGACGACGAGCGAGTGGATCTCCAAGAGATAGCACCCGAACCAAGGCTGAAACAGTAGCCCTGCGACGACCTGAGCGTCTCAGCGTCGTCTGCCCAAGAAGCGTCTGTGTGCCCAGTAAGGACCACTGGCCTGCGTCCTCCTAGCACTAACCCCATGCCTGATGTACTAGCAAGATAACGCAAAACCCTCTTAGCGGCAGACCAGTGCTGAGGTCGGTGTCTGCCTGTAGCCACAAAGCGAGCCAGGATGCTGAGAGGGTATGCGAGATCTGGGCGAGTGCAAGTCATCAGGTACATGAGGCAACCCACCAGCTCTGCGTAGGGGCCACTGGGCTCTACTGGCTCCTCAGGAACGGGAGCAGAGAGCCCATGGTCTACGGGTAGAGGTGTGGGCTGTGCGGAGGAGAACTGAAGACCGAACCTCTGAAGGACCTGACGCACCAAGTGTGACTGGGTCAGAGTGATGGTGCGTGCTGCTCTGTCCCTAGAGATCTGCAGGCCAAGATAGCGACGCAGCTCTCCAAGGTCAGTGCAGGTGTGTCTCTTCAGCAGCTCAGCCTTCACAGAGGCCAGTGCGTCCCTGTCAGGAGTAGCAAAGACCAGGTCGTCTACGTAGACAAGGATGTAGAACGGAGTCTGGCCGGAACGCACAAACAGTGAAGGGTCAGCAGAGGACGGAAAGAACTGCAGGTCTGCTAACGTGGCACGTAGCGTGTCGTGCCACTCGCGGGGAGCCTGACGCAGGCCGTAGACCGGGCGCCTGAGAAGCCACTGGGTCCCAGGAGGGAAGGTACCAGTGAAGCCCTGTGGTCGGCGCAGGTAGACCTGCTCGTGTAGGCTGCCCTGAAGAAAGGCAGTAGAGAAGTCGAGAGAGTGAAGCTCGTAGTCACGCTGTGCTGCTACGTGTAGCAGCGCCCGAAGAGTGGTCATCTTCGGGGTCGGGGCGAAGGTCTGGAAGAAGTCAACCCCCTCGCGCTGACTGAAACCTCTGGCCACGTAGCGCGCCTTGAAGACAGGCGGCTCTCCAGGGGGGCGCTTCACCTTGAAGAGCCACCGACCATCGACTACGTTCACCCCAGGCGGGGGAACTGCGTCGACGTAAGTGCCGGTGGATCTCCAAGATGCCATCTCCTGCTCCATGGCAGCTATCCACTGAGAGGCCCAAGGTCCCGAGGTGGCCTCAGCGTAGGTGCGAGGGGTCGGGATGTCGAAGGCGTCTGGGTCACCCTCAGGGACTAACAGCATGGAGCAGAGATGGGGAGCAGCCTCGGAAAGGAAAGCCAGCTCGTACTGCCTGTCCTCTAGGACGTCACTGCCAAGGGCAGGAGCACCCCCGACGGACAGAGGACGGGCAGGGTCAGAGACCAGAGCGGTAGCGTAGTCAAGGCGGCGGGTAGAAGCGAAGTCAGCGACAGCAGCGACAAGCGCGTCAAGGCGCGAGACAGGAACAGCAGGGTCGGTAACAAGAGAGGCAAGGACCCGAGGGACAAGGGGACGAGCAGCAGGGAGGTAGTCAGAGAACGGAGGAGGTGCAACAGCAAGGGACGAGGGAGGAGGGGACGGGAGGAGGGGAGGACGAGACGAGTGGGAACGGAGCAACATAGGGTGGGTGGGCAGGACAGGAGAGACGGGACGGGCACGGGAGGGACGGCGAGCCCAAACGTGAGACGGAGGGGTAGGGTCAGGGGACAGCGGAGGAGACACAGGAGGGGAACGAGGAGGAAGACGGGCCGGAGACGAGTCTGGCGGCGGGAACACAGGACCGTAGACAGGGAGGTCAGGAGGCGGTGGGGGAGACACCGGCGCGCGGTCCGGGGAGGGAAGGCCGAGCAGGCGGAGAGCGGAAACCGGCGGCGACGGCTGCTGTGGCGGCGACGACGGCTGGGCCGGAACTCTCGGACCAGCAGAGGCAGAACGACCGTCGGCAGAACACTCAACAGCAGCACCCCCAGAACCAACACCCCAAGAGCGAGAACCCCCTCCAACACCAGCGGCACCCCCAGAAGCCGCAGGACGAACACCCTCCTCCACACCAGCACCCCCAGGGGCCGAGAGCAGCGGCGGCAGTGGCGGCGACAGCGGCGACGGCTGCGGCGGCGACGGCGACGGCGGCGGCAGCGGGGTCGGCGACTGCGACAGTGGGGGCGGAGGCACTGGGGAAGGGGGACGCGGCAAGGACGGACCGGGGGTACCACCAGAGTCAGCAGACTCCTCAACGGGGACAACCGACGGGAGGGGAGTGACGTGGGAGACACCAGACGGGGCAGGACGAGGCGGGAGAGGGGCAGGGGCTACCGTGGGAGAGGGAGCAAGGAAAAGGGGGGGGGCAACTGGGAGACCTCGGTGAGGGAAGCGGCGGTAGAAGGAGACGGACTCGTCAAAGGTGACGTCACGAGAGTGGAGGAAGCGGTGAGACGGCGGGTGGTAGAAAAGCCAGTCAGACGAGTCCAGGGGGAAACCGAGGAAGACACAGGGGACAGTGCGGGCAGTGAGCTTGTCCGTGCCAGAGGCACGAACGTGAGCAAGGCAGCCCCATACGTGGAACGCAGACGCGTCACCGGGGGACCCGGTCCAAAGGAGGGTCGGCGAAACCTGCGGCCGCTGGGAGCGTGGCCACAGGTTAAGCTGGTGAGCCGCGTAGCGAACAGCGAACGGCCACAGAAAATGGGGGGCATCGGCATGGATCATGGAGGTACGGGCGACCTCCATGACCAAGCCGATGCGGCGCTCAGCAACCCCATTCTGCTGTGGCGAGTCCGGCAACGTGTACGACTGGGTGATGCCCTCCGCACGACAGAACTGTCCAAGCCGACCAGAGGCGAACTCGCCGCCACGGTCGGAGTGGAGACACAACACGGGGAGACCGCGGTGGAGACGCGCAGCTACAACCCACGGGAGAAGAACGTCGGGCACGTCGGCCTTCCGCTCCAGGGGAAACACCGTGGTGTAGCGCGTGTAGTCGTCAACGAGCACAAGGAAGTAGCGCTCACCGCGCGGTCCGGGGACGGGGGCAGGGCCCCAAACGTCCA